TTTATGAAAAATCGTTATTTTAAGTTTTACTATCTAATTTTGTCAACATTTGACGCTTATAAAATAATTTTGACTACACATTCGAAACTGTTGAACTGCTGTATGAATAACTTACGAGGAACCTAGAATTACATAAGTGATATTATGTTTATTCTCAAAAAAACGTTTTACTAACATAAATTTAAAATAGTGGGTAACGCTACGCAGTACGCTGTGCTGTCTAGATAAATCACTGTGCATATTGTGTTCAATTTGAATTTAATGATATAAAATCACGTAACGTATACGAAAAACGATTCTGAGTGAAGACTGTCAGCCTATAATATTGCTAAGAATATTTTGTGGTATTATTGTGATTAAAATTATTAATTTTTTTACTATAGGCATTTGTATTGTGTACTACATTAGATATAGGTTAAATCAATTTTTGAGGAAAAAAATTGCATTTTGAAACTAAGTTGTGTGTGTTAAATTGCTGTAGTTTTCCCAATTATTTTTAAATGTACTCTTCATTTTTTACTCTTTGTTAAAATTATGTACCTACTAGAGAGCGTGGCTTGATGATTGAAGCTTTTTTTACTGATCTTAAAGGTGACGTATCGCAGCAGCACACTAAAAAAAATAAACATTTCAAAACTAGTACGTTCATCGATCTGCTCCTCGAGAATTTAAGCTAAATGATCGATTTTTATGTCATTGTGTGACTATTAATTAATTTATTAAAAAAAAAAACACATATTGCCTTCCTCCGTTCCACTCAAAATTGGCATGTGTGATATTTCATTGACAAACGAAGAAAAATTATGCAAAACAAAAAACATTTTATAATAAAAAATATGTTTGTCAAACTCAGTTTACCGAACGTGTCATTTTTTCACCGTCATCTCTACTATAGCAAATGTAGATAGGTATGAACAATAAGGTATTAATCCATCTACCTATATAGATTATAGATAAGAGGTAACTAAAAGATAAATTTTAAATTTTAAGATTAGAGTATAAGACAGACGTACCTATTCATCGTATTGTACCTAGACGTACAAACATGCGCAGTTGTTATCTTTCTAGTTTTCTATTAATTTATTAGGTACCCAGTGGAGTAGATATGATTTACAAAGGGGGGGGGGGTAAAAAAAGAAAATGATATAGTTAATATATAGGGGAAAATCGGAAAATCCCCCACCCTCTCAAAACTTTTTACTTAGGTAGTAAAATATTTAACAATAAGGAACAATTAAAATAATTTTAATTGATTCAAAATTATCATTAAACCCAATACGGAATATTATAATATTATCCACTCTAAAGTCAATGGGAAGGGATCTGACCCCCACGTCCCCCCCTTGTATACGCCTCTGTAGGTATCTAATGATATTATATTATATCGTTATAATAATAGCATTGTTGTAATCGATAATAATTAATAATAATCATAGACTTCAATTTTGATCAAAATCTATAAAAAAAAAAAAGGAGTAGGAATAATGCAAGTGGCGATGATTCAATCAAGATGACCGCGGTTGTTATTTAAACGTTAAACAATAGTAAAATTTTGATCAAGACAATTTCGTGTTACAATTTTAAGGTTTTTTTTTTTCGGTACCGGTACAAGGTATTTTTTGATTTTGGCCGAAACTATTACACATTTGTAAGTATAATACATACAAGATAGCACTTATCAATATAGCATGTATAAGTAGAGCGGCGTCGCGCAGGCGTCTCATGTCTGGTGGACGAAACGTCCGTCAAAGCCACATCGAGAGCGCCGTGTGTAAAGGTCTACATGGCGCAGCAGTGCAGGCCGAGGTGCTGGCCAAAAAGAAACAGTGATGGAGGTGGTGGGGAAACGCCATTGCCGGAAAGGGTAGATATAAGGGGCGGAAACTAGTGGGGTTGTATAACGTGTACATCTGCAGCGGTATATATAGCCAATAATATAGATAGATAGTGTAATTTGTACAGAGTGAACTTTTATCGTGAATGCAGGACCTCAAGGTACCAATACGAATTATTATAGCACATGGCTGGGGGGGAAGTATACCGTATACGGTATAGACGGTATACCACTAATGATTTTCAACGTCGTTTAAGAGCATAAATAATACTATGTACACTATAGATTGTATAGTCATTGATATAATATGACTATTATGGACGATAATACGATATGGATAAATCTGTAAGCAAACACAACCGAATACCGATACCATATTATACGGTTTAACTGCAACATCGTTACATCTCTTTTCTCTCAATAACAGTTGCTTAGAAATGTCCGTGCCTGCATAGTGAGAACCATCGTCTTTATCTACGTCACGTTGGCCAAAAACTGAGATATAATATTATGTTTATTGACTATTATAGGTAGGAATTCGTATACGTATGTTTAACAATATCAATGCTTGCAATACCTACACTGCCTTATTATACTAATCGACCTATCATAATATTGTACATTTTGTCGGTTTGGTTAATAATTATTAATATTAAATATTGTTTTATTTTATCGTGTGACGACAATGCAGTGAACATGTTTTATTGTAGGTATTATATGCGCGTTTGCAGGTGATATAATATTATTAATAGTGATCTGCAGTGGTTGAAAAACGTTATCAGCTCCTCCCGAATGGCGCCGCAGTTGCCGGGAGAGAACTGTTATAGTATTACAAGCAGACGTAGGTATACATACATTTGAATGCTTATTTATTATTTATGAGTTTAAGACTGTATAGGTCTCCTACCAGTGCCGATACAGTGTCTGCGCACGCTTATGTATAACATGCGTATAATGTCTATATACATTATACAAAGGGGTGTACATATATATGATGTGAGTGTGCGTGTGTGTGCACGGCGGGGACGAGTGTGCGCCCTAAGACGGATCCCGCGCTACAACATAGATCAATAACGGTGTAACATCGTTTCGGAGGCGTCTACATCACACACACACACACACACCCACCCACAGCACACAAGCCTCGAGTCTTATTACGGCCGCCATACATACGTCGTGCGACCGGCTCGCGTGACGGTCGTCCTGAATGTGTGGGTCTGTGGGTGTGTGCGTGTGTGTGGGTGTGTGGGTGTGTGTATGTGTGTGCGTGTTTGTGTGCGTGTGTGCAGTCTGAGCTAGTGTGCTCGCGTGCTTACACCGGGTTTATAATACGCGTATACCCGCTGCAGGTATAATATATAATATACCTGTATATATAATATATTATTCGTGCTGAACGATTAATGCGATCTGTTTCCATCGATCTCACGTAAGTTCCGTGTGTATCGCACGCTGTTATAAATAATAGTAATAATAATATCTGCATGTATTATAATAATAATTAATCATATAATAACGCTTGACGGACGTACTACACATATATAGGTAGGTACACCTAATCATACTGCAGCGTGTCGCGAAGTACATACATTTATATTCGGAATTTTCGCGCCTCCGTGATAATTTTTTTTTTTTATTGCCTCTCCACCCCATTCGTAAACGTCGATTTTTGTCGTTGTAATTTATTTTATACGTGTTGTGTTATAGTATTATAACTTATACGGTATTATAAGTACTATAAACAAGTAGTAGTAGTACTGCAGTAAATAAGTAGATAAACAATAATAATTATTATATTGTGTAGGTTATGATGGGAACGTAAACGACGGTCAAATGTAAAAAGAAACTAGGTATATAGCTTATATAAACTAAATTTGCAATATTTTCAGCTTAGGCTTAATATAACACAAGTTAGGCATTCGAATATTATTTTTTTTTTAGTATAAGATAAAAACATTATGTTGGGCCCGATGTCTTTTATTTTGCTTTCTAAATTGAACAATATTATTCTAGTTAACATTTTTGAAACACTAACTCAAAACTACATGTATCTAAGAGAAGAATAATAAAAAAAAATCGAGCTTTTAGCCACCCTGCAGCAAATTATTTCCCTATATTTCTATAACGAAAAAAAATTGTCTCATAATGACAATTTCAGAAGGTGACTGCGGGAGTATCATTGGTATTTCAAATTGAAATTTAGTTGTTTCTGCTCCCCTTGACCAAATTGTAATAGGTATAAATAATATTCATAAACAATAATTTACATAGTAGAAAGTATTAAAACTGTAAGAATATACGGTATAAATAAGTACCTAGTAAATATATAAATAAAATGATGTTCGATGTATAAAATTAAATTTCCAATGGTCGACTCGGATCATAACGATGGTTAGGCATCACTAATTACGTGTCTGTACGACTGTACATATTATAATATACGCAATAGATTTCGATTTGTATTTAAGTTATTTATTCCTAGTGCATAGTGAATAAAATATCTAATGTAGATACACACATAATATCATGTATTATATTATATTATACAAGTATACACAACTGTTGCATTTTTTTTTTTGCACGTACCTAATCATAATAATCGAAACAATCGATAAACATAATAAATTGTATAAATACCGCAGTTAGGTACCAGTGTACCACCCTTGCAACTCCACGAATAATAATAATATAATATATTATAGTGCAGCCCATGTAGATACCAGCTGTAGTATTATAGTGGAAGTCGCACTGACCTTAGTGGCCCCAGTGTCGCCAGTGTAGTTGTTCGCTGCTGCCTCCCCTCGTCAGTCGTGCGAGAACGATGGGTGCATCGTTCTCGCAAAACTATTATTACTTTCCCAGTTTTTGATAATCGATTGGGCTTGCAGTATACTTAAACTTTCGTAGAGTTTGTAGCGTAGTGCAAACTATAAGTATATAAAATATATATATATAAGTGTATTAGGTGTACCTACCTACGCTATTTGTTTCTAAATTATCAAAAAAAAAATTTTAAAAATAGGTATAGCCGTACAGGTACCTACCTAGGTATATATTAATTTTAACATTTTCGATATTCTCGTATTATACGCACACATGCATGAAATAATTATCATCGTCGTTACGTTGTGTCTTCTATATATAGGCAGACTGCAGCAGCGTTAAAATGAAAAAAGAGAGGAAAAAACACTGCAAAGACAAAAATAAGAAACAGCCCTCGGATTCGTGTTCGCCCGGTTGCAGCAGTATGGATTGCATGGGCCTACAGCAAATTCCCTCGTCACCGCCGCCGAGTTATGAGCACAGTTTGCAGGAGGTAAATAATAATAATAATAATAATAATAATAATAATTAATACTATAATGTCGTTGTTTGTATTTCGTATCCCTAATATTAATCACAAAATATTAATTTTTTTTTAAGTTTAATAATATAGCAATAATCATAGATTTTAAGTAAGTAGGTAACCCTACAAAAACAGAATAAATATCAAAAACACACATTTTTAATTGGATAGGTCCTATATCAGTCCAGGTGAATTGATTAATTATTATTAGTTATAATCTTTGTCGTTAAGATTTCCACTGTCTGAGTTGGTTTTATTTGAAATCTTAGACCAACATAATATTTCAAATATAAAATTAAATTGTTGTTATGTATTTCTGATCATTTTTCCATAACAGTTAAATAAAAACTGTCAATTTATATATTTTTTTTTATTATATTGTTAATATTATTCTAAGATTTACGATAGGTATGACATAATATATACATATTTGATATTATAATAGAAAAAATAAAACGTGGTATTAATACAATTATTTATTACGCACCTATGCTAATTAAAATATTAATAAAATATAATTTTTTTACTACGTACCTATGCTAAGTAAAGTATTAATAAAATATAAGTCAGACTGATTATGTTCAGGTCATAATATCTGATGACTGATATAACATTATGGTATTTATGAATAACCGTGACTTAGGATTTTTAATATTTTTCATCTGCCTTTGAAACAATATACTAGGAACCTTCTATTCAATTTTCAAGATTTTTTAACCAGCAAATAAAATTTTATTGATATTTATAGAAAAAAAAAACTAAAAAAAAATGGAAACTGAAAATGTTCGTAAACAGTTCAAAATAGGTCAAAATATTTGGAAAATATTATGGTGAATAGAAAATGCTAATATAAACATTCAGTCAAAATTGCATTTACCTATAGTCATTTGTTTATGAGTTGCAACAAAAACCAAAATCGATTTTCTCGAAAACAGTATTTGAGTAAAAATTCCAGTATTTTTTTTATTATAGATTTTGAGTGGAACAATAGATGTATTGATTATACAATGATATGTGTTTTTTAATTTTTTAATTTTTTTTTTAATGTTTAATCTAATTTTAAACTATATTTATACCTCGAATATTTCATACCACCGTCCACCATTCTATATTATGCAGGCATTGAATATTTATTATAAGTTACATGTGATATTTTGACAATAATTAGTTGCGATATAATTAATATGGTAGAAAAATAAATCACCAATACCAATTACCAACAGCAATATAAATAAATTATATAAAATATCCTTTGAATTATAATACTGTCACACAGTCGTCAGTCACCACTAGAATTCGTCATCATGTATGAGTATACGTAAATATTGAAAGTCAAATTTAAATTTAATACATCAATTACACTGACGTTCTTAATGAAGAGAAACTAGAAATTAACTATACACAGAAGATCTAATTCCCCGATAATTTATATGACAATAGCTACAAGCAGATACAAATAGTATAGGTTGGCCATATCTACCTAAACTGCAAAATGGCTTTAATTTTAGTTACCTATCTTTGTTATTTTGGTAGAAATTATCACAAGATTTATCATTTTATATTCTGAGTGGAGCGATGAATGTATTAATTTTACAACGATGTGTGTTTTTATTTTAGATTCTGAGTGGCACGATGAATGTATTGATTTCACATTGATGTGTATTTTTTTCTGTGTCTGTCATCACCTTTTAATACAGTAAAAGTGCTTGGATTTTCTTCAACTGTATCTTTTCTGATAGGAAAGTGAATCTAGTTGGTACTTGGTCAATAAAGTATCTAACGTATACTTATTTATAAATTTTCCAGAAATTATCAAAAGTGACGTGAAAAACAAACGAAAAATTAAGGAAATACGGGAATTTTTGCGCAAAGTCTGTTTTCGAGAAATTCGATTTTGGTTCATGGTGTAACTCTAAAACAAATGACCGTAAATACATGAAATTTTTACTGTTTATATAAGCATTTTCTATACACCATGCCTTTTTAAAAATATTTTGACTTGTTTTGAGCTGTTTAAGGACATTTTCAGTTTCCAAATTTTTTAGTTTTTTGAAATTAGTAATTACATAAAAAAAACCTAGAATAACTATTTTAGTTATTTTATTGTGATTGTATAATATTATTCGTGGGTACTTGAAACTTCTAAAGTACACTATTATATATCTATCATAGATGAGGGTTTGTTGTTGATGTAGAACGCGTTATAAGTACCTAATGGATATTTTGATATGATTAATTTGTTATTTATTACAGGTACCTATTATAGGTAAATTTTTTTTAATACCATAGATAAGTATACAATATGTTTTATACCCAGACTGACATACCGTCTCCTCTCAGAATCGTTTTTCTTATACAATGATATTATATCATTGAATTCAAATTTAATATTATCCATTATACTGTGACCCACTTGTAACCTATTGCACAGCAGAGCACCTTTTTTCTTTTGTTTTTCAAGTCGCTTTTGAAAACTACTTTGAAATTTTTACTTTTGGCATCTTCAAAGTACCAACAAGATTCATTTTCCTATCAGAAAAGATGCTGTTGAAGAAAATCTAAGCATTTTTACTGTCCTAAAAGGTGATGACAGACACAACAATTAAAAATTAAAAAAAAACACATATCATTGTAAAATCTATACATTCATAGTTTCACTCAGAATCTAAAAAGGCCTATCTATACTACTACGCGTGTTCTTAGTTTTTATATTATCCAAACATCCGTGACGTAAGTTTTTATACAAACTATTAAATTTGTCAACTTATACAAATTCTTATATATTATATATATCGTCTATAATTTGTTGATAAAGTGATTATGTTTTGCAAAATATAAGTCTTATTAAACTCACTTATCGAATTTGTTTTTCTTTCCATCGTTAGCCTGGACAATCTGCCGATCACGGTGGTCATCTGCAGCAGATGGTCACTGACGATGAAATTTGCGCCGGAGGAAGTGGTCTGCAATCGTGTAGTTCTGAGATCGAATGTCAAAGTAATGGCTCGCCCGTAAGACAAGAAATATTTCACAAGAGCAGCAAAGAGTTTTATAAGGCGGTCGCTGCCCAGTGGGGTATAACTTGCAAGATGAGCGACCACTGCAGATGTCTGGAATGTCAGGTAAAATGTTATTTCCATGAAAAATATCAAAATAAATATTAGTAGGTTAAAATATTATGACCATTATGGCGTTTTGTCATATAATATCAACAATCTTTGTTGAGTTTATTCAAACTTCAAATGCATGAACGTGACTGGCATAATTCAGATGACAAGTGAACATAAAATATAATTTTCAAATTGTATAGAATTGCGGAAAATTTGAAAAACCGGCACCCGGGCCCCTTTACGCAGAAATTATATTATTATAAAAATATTAATTATTAAATAGTGATTCTGGGAACTAATAATAATTATAGGATTGTAAGGATTGTAAGGAGACGACGACGTTCGACGTACAAATCACAATATTTTAATAAATTTATTATAGAGCTGAGAAGTCTAAATGATAGTGGCTGTCTTAGAAATAATACACATTAGAATAGCTGTGCACTTAAAATATACCTAATTAATTTTTATAAGTATAACCACCCGTTTGAAAAATCAATGACGTAGGTATATAATTGTACAATATTGTATAAGTACAAGATAATAAACGCCTCAACTGTACATTTTTTTCGTGTTTCAAATCAAATTATATTCAGCGTAAATATAATTTAAATTTAAAAAAAAAAATGTCTAGTTTTTTTGTAATGTAACGATAAAGTTCCCGTGGCCCTCCAACTTGGACATACCTTGGGCCTTGGGGGCCTTAGCCCCGGTGGTCCTGGCCTGAATACGCCACTGGGTTTGGAGGTGTTTAAGTTTTGGCTGCCATATCGTATAGATACATTTTTGAAAAGTTTTCATTCATTTTCCAGATAGTTTTCTATACAAATCTCTAGGCGTTGGCAACTATTCAGAACAATATGACGTTTCACTAAACTTGTGATCGGAATTTTATTTCTAAAAATCGTTATATTGCTTGTAAACTTTTATGTTTTGATACGTTTCTCCAGCCCCACCCATTTCAAATTTTGCATATTTTTGTATGCAAATTGTAAATATTCAACGCACAATACGCTTGCATTGTATAGGTACCTAAATGTACGACCGTTTCCGAAATATGTACGTCGTCTGTTTACCCGGAAATTAATATTATTAATGTCTATATAGCTATAATGCTATATAAAATATTTTTATGATACGTGTGGTTCTGCAAAAAGCAATCAAGCAATGTATATTGTATACATAAAAGTCCATTAAATATTGTTGTTGTTGTATTGTTGTTGTTATTATTATTATCGACAGTTTTGATAAACAATCGTACAGTACCTATAATAATAACATATAATATTATATATCCAGTTCATTTCATCCTATAAGGAACCACTTATTGGATATCATTTGTTTTGGCCGTAAATAAGGGAATTGCATTGTTTGCGAGTGTCACAGTGCCGATTAATAAATAAATAAATAATGATAAAACCCATTTCGTTCGACACCAGCCATATTCTACCAACACAGAAGTTTTAAGTATTCAACGCCATGCGTACTTGATATTGTTTTATTTATGTGTGTTTCTGAGTGCTTTGATATTATTCTTCCGGACTGAGAAACGATTAAAGGTTCTATAATATTGTTCTCGACCATTATTGCCATAGTTTCAATATTATATTGACACATAATAATTGCTTTTTACTTTTTAGTTGAACCATATTGTAGTGTCTCAATTCTCACGTCCTATTGCAATACCTACGGAATACCTATACTTTTGATATCGCAATTCACAATACCTATATTATAATTTACAACATATTATGAGCAGAAACCAAATAGGTAATGGTATGGAACTTTTTGAAACCCTTTATTCGTAATAATATTATGAATCTAATCAATATTCAGTGTCGACATAGTTTTCACAAGATTAAGTTGATTCCGAATTTCATAATATTCATATCAAAATATCCGCAATTCTTTTGACTATTGATAGTATTGATGTATTATATAAGTAAGATAAGTAAGTATTATATAGAATACATTATATTTTGTATTCGAATAAATATATGAAAAGTTGGTATTCAGAATACCCGAGAGAATACCTGAATACGTATTTGAATGTTGAATATTTAAAAAATAAATATATTCCATAGGTATACCTACCTACCAGCTACCTTATACCATTGATTAATGATTATGAATAGGTACATTATATTATTCATAAATCATAACCAATGCTTATTATACGTACCTATTCGAAAAAGTATTTGTTTTCCGATAATATATACCAAGTATTAAGTATTATTATTATTAGTTTTGGAATGGTTTGAAATTAACTCTTATGGTATTAATACACTACCAAATTATTATAAAATATACAATTACGGAAGTGCTGTAGGTACTTAGGTATGAATAAATTATAGTACCTACTATAAGTATCTACAACAATAAATGCTATAGTTGTTGTAACAATATATAATATTAATTATTACCTATATTTGTTAGTTTTATTTAGACCTATATTAATCTATAATTCCATCATCCGGGTTCCAGGTTCTATCAGGTCTCAGAGTTAATTATCTATATCCCCCCCCCCTGTAACACGCCTTATGTGTTTGTCAAATGATAAATGTTTCATGCTGAATTTTTCCAATTAATAAAGTTTAAGATCTTGTTAGTTTAATTATTGAGTTAAACTATTCAACTTTCCTGTTATTCGTCCACAAATTATTCATATACCAGATTATATAGGTGCCTACTTTAAAAAAAGGTTAATGGCGTCAAATAACATTTACCTATATTATATGTTTAAATTAATAGGTAAATAAATAAATAATATATCGATATCGTAGTTAGTGGTCACCTTCTTAGATTTTCTACTCAGTCCATTGTAGTGGTATAATGGGTATTATACTGTATCATAATATGGTCATAATATTATGTACCATATCGAGTGTTATGTACTTATGTTTGTTAATTGTTATTATAAAAACGTATTTATGTAACATATTCAGTGGGGCCCATTATCTTCTTGAAGAATAAATAAATAATAAATGAATAAAAATGTATACTTACAGTCTTCACTTGAACTTTTGGTCGCAAATTATACGAATGAGCCCGAAAAACCAGTAAAAAAATTTTTCAAATTTAACTAATAAGTAGGTATAAAGTCAGTTATTTTTACTGATTGCACACAAATATTTTATCGCTATACCAAACTCTCGACTAAACTGAACATAAGTGTAAATAGAGGGGCGGGACAAGAGGGGCAAATTACTTAATTTGCTATATGTGGAGCGTGTAAAAATTGAATCAGAGAAATGTTGATTAAAATAAATATATCATATCATGAGTTGAGTACCTACATATTTTATTTTTATTGTCATCAGATAAGTTAAATTAGTAATATATAAAACAAATGAGACATTTATTTCTATTTAATTTATCATAAACTATTTTCTAATATTGTATTCATATCGCCACACGTGCCGATAGACATATGTTGCAAACATATTTTAGTTTATATATAAAATATATAAGTCAATCAGAAAAAAATACAATTATGAATTAGGTATCTCTACTACTATTATAGTACTTACTACCTATAATACTGCTATACATATACCGACTGATAGAGAACATTAACTTTCTCTGAGCCAATTCACAGATATAGCTAGCTAATCAATAAACCTCCAAAACCTCCCCTGTATACGTAACGCTCGCTATATTATTTACGTAATCCCGGCAATATGGCCTGCATCACCCGAGGTAGTCACGACGTGTCGCGCGGTACTGCTACATGAGCAGTAGTGTCTTCGGTCGCAGCGACCTGTCGCGTTTTGCAAAACAGTTGATACTATTATTTTCCTATAAACAGATAATGACGACATGTCGTGCCTTGGAAAACGGTGGTCGACACGACCGTCGAAATACCACACAGTGCTTAAGAGGACGTCACACCCGCATGTGTTGTCTCCGTCTTACACACATAGCAAATGTTCGTTGGCTAGTTTCAATAGGGTGTTGTCAGTTTTTGTGTTAGAGTGAATTGACCTATTATCAAACTTTTAGGTAAGAACAGTATCTGTGTTCTCTAGTCGGTTTTTTACGATATTTTAATTTTTAAGTGAGTTACGGATACGTAAAGTATTCATATTCTAAAATGTTCGCACAACTCACTCAAAAATTAAAATATCGTAAAAAACCAACGAGAGAACACAGATGATATTGTTACCTACAAGTTTGACAATAGGTCGATTCACTCTAATAATATCAAAACTGACAATACCCTATTGAAACTAGCAAACGACAATTTGCTATGTCGTACGTGTGTTAGACGGAGACAACACATCCGAGTGAGAAGTCCTCTTAAGAGGATGTCAGCACACCCACATGTGTTGTGAAGTGTTACAAAATATGTACAACATAGCAAAACTGTTTTGCGCTGGACAACTTTTCTCGCACCATATCTGTTGTAGAACTACCAGATTTTCACAACACGTAAAGATAAGAACTTTATCTGGGGAACAGAGTGATTTTTTTATTTTTTAATAGCACTATCCTATCATTTTTTATAAGGGGGTTACCCCCCCCCCCCCCACCGGTCTGGCTACTTCACTGCGTCGGGCCGCGTACCACAGATCACACCCTTCGTAGCCGTAGACGGCACTGAAGGGGTCACTGCGTAGATATTAAATATAATATTATGTCCATATGGAAGATGTAGCAGTCCGTCTCTTTCGGCGTAACATGATGTGTGCGCTGCAGTTGCCAAGTCGGACACACGTGTTATGCCGCAAGAGATGGTCTAAGGAGCCACGACGGTCGACAAACTGCTCACCAGTGGCGTAACTGAGAATGTTTGATGGGGGGGATCAAAATAAATTTGTAGGGTAAACTTGTGGGGGCATTTGCCCCCACGGCCCACACCCCCTTATCTATATTTTGTATAATTTAATAACTCAACACATCTAAATATAATCATTCTATATTACATAACATTATACATTTACAAATATGTTTTAATATTTTAATAAACTCATTTAAATGTTTTATAATAATTAAAATGACATAACTAATAGTTATTGAATAAACTGCAGTGACTGCAATTATATTTTTAATAGGTACTTTTTTTAACTGGTGTTAATTTAATTTTGCATAATTTTAGCGCGAGTTGTAATGCTAATTTTTATAATAAGTTGAATACGTCATACATAATATTTAAACATTTAATTCCGGGTCTAATAATGTTTAGTATTTTAAATTGTATACTTACGTCAGGCCCAGGCTTCTTTTTAAAAAAATTCGATAAAGTACTGCTAGTTGCTGGTAATTTTCTTTTTTTTTGCTCCATTTTGCTTTTAGCTTATAAAAATGTAACTGACACAGTGACACTGTGAATATGAGAGAATGACACGGTGTGTGGTGTGTCAGTGTGTATCCTACTGTGTAGTGTTTACTGTTTATACGTAATCGCAATAATCAATGTAGATACTTTGTGTCGGCGCGCGTTCTTAGTACCTAGTATCTATGGCTATTATTCGTTCTACGAAATGTAAATCTTAGTTACATTTTTATTATTATATTATGTTTATGGAATGGTGGTTTTTCAAATTATCGGATTACTTACCATCTATAATCTATTCAAAATTAGGTATAGTGTGTGGCATGTCACCCAATGTTTATTAATAAATAAGAATTAAAATGAATCAGACCATTTATTTTGAAATCATGCTTATCGTTAACGGGTAAATATTACCCGGGTGAATACGGGTACACAACTTGTAAACTTTTTTTTTTTTTTTTAGTTTCGTAATAATTTATAAGTTTTTATTTGAACTATTTGTAGGTATAAGACAATATATAAATACAGCTCATGGGGGGGATCTATCCCCCATATCCCCCCCCGTAATTACGCCCCTGCTGCTCACCTAGGTGAGGAGGTGATACAGCTGTGTATATAGCAGATTAATATCTCCGTAGCCTATGACCCGACCAAGGGTGAGCTGAATCACTGGAAACCGCTACTTTCCGACCATCGGCGAACTATATTTTTCATAATACCTATTTAACTTGTCATAAACGCTATTCTGATATTGTATTCTGCGTAGGTACGGGCTATCTGATATCGCCTACACGCATGTTACGAAAACATTTTAGTTTGTATTACAGCAATTAGATAATAAACTATTGTGATTTATATAACTAGGTACCTACTATACTGATACAGGCATACAGCGGTTCTCAAACTCTTTATATCCGCGTATAGGTACCTTTTAATATGAATATAATGATCGGTTAAATTTTTTTTTTATACAGCGAGATTTTTTTAGCCTATGAGCTATATTTCCACTCGTGGTACACATACCATACGTCGAGGAACCGCTGTACCAATAGAAAAAAATTTAAATTTAAAACTTTCTCAAACCAAATAATACTATATTTTCGATTATACGTATATTTGGTCTAGGTACCTACCTACCTAATACCTACAGTGAACTGTCACAACTGATCGCCAAGCTTTGATTCATTTGATTTAACTTTTTGATGCATCCTTAACTGTGTATGATGTGTATTAGATATTATAATATAATAATTTATAACTTGTTTGTTACCAAAATAATATGTTCATGTGGTCCGGACCTCTCCCATTGACTCGTGTCTCGTACATGTTAAATTTTGTGTTTTTAGTTTTTACATGATTAAGAAAAATAAATTTTATCATACGATACAAAGGACTTTGTAAAAAATTTTCGTCGCTTCAATTGTCAACCATTTTCAATTAATATAGTGATTTTTTTTTTGTTATAAATTTACATTGCCAGTATCACATTGTGATTTTGCACAGTACCTACCTACCTATTTACATTGCCACAGCAAATCTCAAAATCCTCGTTTGAGCAACTCCTCGGGTGGTGAAAAATACTTTTTGAACCTATTCTGGTAGGTACCTACCAAATGAACAAAAAAATTTTATCCGAATCGTTCGAGCTGTTACAAAGGAGTTCTAACGCTAACACCGTGACCTTTTATGGATGAATAGGTTAAATCGGATAAATCGTTCTTCGACAACAAATAATAAATTGTATATTTTATTTTATTTAAACATAAGATTACAATGCAATTATTTAAAAATGTAAAATAGATCCTAGTGTAGAACCATGATCAATGGTCATTATACGTTGATGGATAGAACGAATGTTAGGTACGAAAACCAAGTAGCCAGTAGGTATTTAATATCAACCTATAATTTATTATAAATAATAAACTAATAACCGAAATTAGCAACTTTTAAGTTGACTTCTGATGAATATATTTTAAATAATATGTTAATATGTTAATATTTTAGTGCTGTCCACCGTAGGCGAATATCAGTTGTAATCAGGTCTGTGACTTGTCTGGACTAAAGGAAAAGGCAAAGCACATGTTTTGCTTAAAAAATAATTATGTTTTCTTTTTTTATTACAACCGTTTTTTTGTTGTTTGCAGAGTCGCTATTTCGATTGTGAGTATGATCAAGAGAACGAACAGGAGAAGACAGACGGTGGTCTCGGAGCTGGTACACCAATGTTCTTATCAGAAGTCATGCACGGGTCCACTTGCACATTAATTTAATGCATATTTTTCACACAATAGATTTGTTATTTTTTTATGAAATACCTAATCGTTGTGGCAATTATTATGTGTATCTACTAATGACAGCCCAACGATACCATACATAATATTATATATTTATATTGTTTTGCGTAATGACATGTTTGATTACAATGCCCAGGGCCTACTATAATATTGTATTAAGTATTAACAAACATTTTTAACCAGGCTATGAATATTTTACCGCCAAAAAAAAAAAAACCTATAAAAGCCTGTCTAATTTTTAAAGTTAACCTTCTTACATAATATGTGTTCTTAATTTTTTTACTTTTACTAAAAACATTTTATTTTATATTGATACCAATTGACCTATATATTTATATAATATTGTAAGTTACTAATTAAATCTAACGGTTATTACCTATAAACTATAAATCAATTCTACAAAACAATTATTGACAATGCATTAAAATAATAAATTATTAACAATTATTAACTTGTTTCTTGGTTTTTATTTTCCATTTAAAATCATTTAAAAAAAAAAAAAAATAGCAAAATAACATTTACATTTAGTGTAAATTGTGGTCTGTAACAAATTAACATAAATCCAAATCTGGCCTACACAGTTTTGAATCAAATAATGAATTAATTAAATTTATATCATAATTTTTATTTTATAAATCACAACACATTCTTATTGTAATGAAAAGTAAAACAACATTAAAAAAATTATCTTAATTAAATAATAAGTCGTTAATTACATGGTAAAAAAAAACTATTTTGGTAGATTTATCTTGCAGATTCATCCCTGTACCAAAAAAAAAAAAATAAACTTTTACTTTTATCTTATTCATAAGAGGTATCAATTACATTTTAAGACAATTGCAATAATTAATGAAATCTCCTAATTATATACATAGTATTATGATAGTTCTGTTCTTATTTCAAAGGTTCAATAGAATTTCTTAGCTTGGGATTCTTTACTGTTCCTGAAAAAAAAAAAAAAAAACATTTTTCAGCAAATACAAACATAAGATATTATCGGTTTGATATTAACATTATTAATAACATAAACAGCAATAAATTGTTGTCACATGAGGAAAGGTAATATTGTTCAATTTATATGACAATAAGAAATGTATTCATGCAGTAATATGATAATAAAATTGAATTCATGAAGTAACATATCAGGATTCTAGACACATTTGAAATAGTCGCGTGTCTAGGAATTTGTAAAGTGAGACATTAAGCAGGGCCTATCTTTACTTAATAGAGGCTATGAAACTTAATTTTGTTTTGATTTGTAACATGATTGGCATCATGTAAGCATCTCGTTAACATAGTTAGTTTTTGGTTTCTATAAATAATTTAATGAGCTGAGGCCTGAGAGTAATGAAACATAGGTTAACATTTTTTACTCTGTTACATCATATAATATTTTATTATTTTAAGTCATATTATTTAATTTTTTTTTAGTCATTTTTGTTTTGTTGTTTCAATAAGAAGTACAATATGCAATTTTAAAACAATCTATTAATTAAAAAAGTTACAATTATTTTTTATATTATGCAGAAAATTCTCTGCATACTTCAAATTATGTTAATTTCAATTCCATCTACAATAAATTATAGAATTTTTGAAGTAATTAATAAAATATGAAAACAGTGATGGTCACACTTATTTTATACAAATAACAATTAAATTTAAATATTGTAAAGTCTTATATATTGTGTAAAATTGGTAATTTTTATTTTGATGGATACAAATTTGGTTTATAGGTCTTCTAATAACTAATTCAAATGTTGGTTGTTCCTCCAAACCTCCTACCACTGATTTTAAATATCTATTAACATTATCTTAACTTACTTATAGAAAGCATAGATAATAAACAATAACGTTTGACCCACTGCAGCCACCAAAACAATTGTATTGGTTGCACATGTAGGACAAGACAATTGTTGTGTATACCCAGCCTTCTGTGTTGCATCCCGTTTGATGGTATTCAATGAGTCTCTGATTTCATGTATAATTGATACCTGGTCGTAGCCTAATGGCTGAACTTGAGCTGTTGGTTGATGAGCTTGGTTTTTAATTATGTTTTCAGTCTTTAAATGTACTTCTGCCACTAAATTTCTATAAAAATTTAAAATACAGAGTTTAGTGTATGAGAAAATTACATAATTTTAATGTGAAATATTGAAATATCACTAAAGCATAACCAAAATATTGTAGAAACACTCATAAATAAAGTATGGATCTATAATGTGTATTTTTTTTTCTTGCATATGGCGTAGGTTTATTGGTGAAAAACAAAATTAAATAAACATAAAATAAAACTAAATAAACATTAAATTATCAAAGTAACGAGGACTAGAGTAGGTAGATTTACAATAAACTAATAAATAATTTTAACAATAACAAAGATAATAATAATAAGGGCTCATAATATATTTAAAGGCGAACATTGGTCTTAGACAGCCAATCCATTGCTTCGTCATCGCCCATGTGAAGTCCCTCTATTCCTCCTTTGTATCTAGTTTGAGGACATTCCTCCACAATGTGTTTGATGGATTGTATTTGCCCGCAGTCGCATAAGGGAGAGTTTTTTAACTTCCATTTATGTAGGAGGTAGTTACAATTACCCTGCTCCGTTCGTATCCTGTTTAGATTAGTCCATAAGGCTCTCGGGTAGTCAAATCCTGGGACTCTTTGGTTTGGGTAGCTTATCAGATGTCTATTTTTTGCATTACCTTTTTCCCATTGTTGTTTCCACATATCCTCCATGCTATCAAAACTATTTTCTTTTGACCAGATTGGGTTTCTTGATCTTAATCTTTTAGATGGTGCGCAATTTATGTAGGTATATACAGGGAGATTCACTAATTTATTGATTTTCTGTAACAGTTTGACAGTTGAGAGATGCCTTCGGATCTCCGGGGGAGCTACGTTCGAAAGGACTGGAAGCCACTGTTGGTTGGTAGCCCGGACACAGCCTGTGATGATTCGCATAGTATTATTCAACTGGGTGTCAACCTTTTTTGTATGTACACTTCTCTCCCAAACGGGGGCGCAGTATTCCGCGACACTGTATACCAAGGCTAGGGCCGATATGCGTAGTACATTTGCTCGGCAGCCCCAGCTTGTTCCGGCAAGTTTACTAATAATATTATTCCTTGTTTTAAGTTTATTTTTTACATCTTCGAGGTGTTGGTTGTAGGTTAACGTTCTGTCCAGTTTGATCCCAAGATATTTTGAAGCATCGTCATTCATTAGTTTGGTTCCCTGAACTGTCAAGTTGAGTTTTCTGTTAGCATCTCTGTTGCTCAAGTGGAACGCTATGGATGTGGTTTTATTGGGGTTAAGAGTGAGGAACCAGGATTTGAAGTATTTCTGTACTTTTACTAGGTCTTCGTTTAAGATATCCTCAACCTTCTCAAATGATTCAGCTTGAGCTGCTAACCCCACGTCATCCGCGTATATGAATTTGCGTGACGAGGTATTTGTGATATCCGCTGTGTAGGCATTAAACAGAATGGGGGAGAGTACTGAGCCCTGAGGAAGACCATTTTGGAGGAATTTGTATTTGCTTACCTTTCCATTTAGGTGCACTCTAAATTTTCTGTCTGACAATATATTGTCAATTAGTCGCAATGGTGTTTTACATCTTAGAATTTTGGCTAACTTCAAAAGTAAACCACGTTTCCACACCGTATCGTAGGCGCAAGACAGGTCTAGGAAAACAGATCCCGTTTTTAGTTTCTTTTGAAACCCGTTTTCTATAAACGTCGTCAGTGATAGTACTTGTTCACTGCAGCTTCTTCCCTGTCTGAATCCCGCCTGTTCTACTGGCAGGTGTTCTTCGATTTTCGTTTGGATTCTTACTAGGAGTACTCTTTCAAATAACTTGTAGACAACGGATAACAGTGAGATCGGTCTGTAGCTTTTTGGGTCATCATCAGGCTTACCAGGTTTTAATATTGCAACTACTTTAGCTTCCCGCCATTGTTTTGGTAAAGTATTGTTATTTTTTACTGTTGAAAAAAGTCTTGCTAGCCAAAATTTCCCTTTAATGCCCATGTGTTTGAGGAATTCCGGAAGTATACCATCTTCGCCTGCAGCTTTACCGTTTTTTAGGAGTCTTAGGGCAGCCTCCACTTCCTCCACTCCAAAGTCCTTCAATGTGTATTCATTATACAGGTTAAAAATTGAATTTGTAGCCAAATTTTTAAGATATGAGTAATGTGTATTCTGGGAAAAACTTAGATACATTTTATATCACAACTTATAAATCTTATACAAATACAACTGATATTACTGATAAAATTACAATTTTAAATACCATATTAATATGAATTAGTAAATTATTTGAAAATAATACCTGACTTCTCTCACAGAACTTATAATTCCATTTTGGTTGTTTATCAGTAAATCAACATCTTGTCTTCCCATTCCTGCACTCCCTTGTGGAATTTGTACTACATTATAATAAACAGAAAATATCGATAAATGTATGTAAATAGTAAGCAAAAAATTCTTACCATGAGGTTGTCCTTGTGCACTACCCATTGATCCAACAACCGCCATAGTAGATTGAACGTTTGATAGCAAACTGAGTGTTCGTTCCTGACGACCAACAACTTCATCAAGTTTTTGGCTCAATACTTTTACAGAATCTACAATCTGGCTTTGACCAGAGAATATCTGATTTAATTCTCTTTGACTATCTGTTTCATACCAATCTTCAAACTCGTTATCTTCTCTTGTTTTAGTTTCAGGATGCTGCTTGTGATAACTACATATTACAACAAAGTAATAAATAAGAATAAGACATACTATTATTGCAAAAAAGTGTACACTGGGATAGCTTGAAGTTAAATTGAGAATTTCAAGTTGAGGAAAAGTAAATGTTATAATATTGGTTAACCCGTCGTTGGTGATGCTATGAGCATTTTGCTCACATAACTGTTATTTTGGGAACCATTGGCTTCAAATTATTTTGTTTATATCGATATTTTTAGTTT